GCTACATGTACACACAGAACATACTGGATGCGTTGATCAAGAACTTCAGGAGAATTTCTGGCATCCAGAATGTCCTCCACTAGTTGCAGCTTAACCCTAACTCCCCGAGGGTTAAATATGTTGTCAAGCAGGGATGCATCTCAGTACCTCCCTGTTCCTAACAGCCGTCCTCCAGCTCATAAACCCAGCATCTGAATAAGGGGAGGGGGTCTACTTGCTAACACACTCTAATGGTATTCAATCTGGCACGCCTGAAATCTCCCACCAAAAACCTGGCTCATCTGTATTGGAGATCTCCTCTGTGCCGACGACTCAGCATTCGTTGCACATTCTGAAAATGCCCTGCAAACTATCTTGGACTGTTTTGCACAAGCTGCCCCCGGCCTTTGGTCTGACAGTCAATACCAGGAAAACTGTAGTGGTTCATTATCCTTCCCCAGGCAGCCCCCTTACATGTATGTACAGTAGCGCCAGAGGTCACGCTGGGAGGGACCACCTTGGAGGTTGTTGAGCAGTTCCCATACCCCGGCAGTGTGATCAGCATGGACATGCATCACAGGATGCAGAACCTAACAAACGGATGCTCTGCTCTGCCACCTTTGGTCGACGGAACGATTGGCTCTGGAAGAGAGAGGGACTAGACCAAGCATAAAATGAAAAGTGTACCGTGTGCTTGTGTTGAGTTCCCTACTGTATTTGGCAGAGACATGTGCCGGTACACCTGATGCAAACGACATAAATAACACCATTCAGCAGCATCACCTCCAGATTACAAGTGTTGGAGCAAATGAAGCCAATCAGAAAACATTAATTTATTCTGGTTTTTACATGCATTTTGTGTTTTGATCACCAAATAAATCGTAAAGGTTGGCAGTTCTGTACATGAAAGTGTTCTACAAAACTGTGTTTGTGATGTTCGTTGAAGATGAGTGTGAAAACTGGCTTCCTGGCTTCTCTCATTAATTTAACCAGTGCTTTACGATGAAAGGGTTGATATTGGAACCATATCGTCCTGTGGCTTAAAACTTTGTGGTGTTTGCAGCAAACCTGTAGCAGGGAAATTGTTTTCAGAAACACTTCCCTAAATGTGAAACCTGCATCCATTTGTTTGCTGCCCCTCATTTGGATCACAACTGCTATTGTTTTCCTTGTGGTTCCCCCCCCCCCCGTGTTTCTTTTTCCTACTTTCCTGCAAATGTTTGGCAGGGGATCCTGCGCTCAGATTTCACTCAGTCTGATTATCTCCAGTCTTGGAAGGTGTGCTGACCATCATCTCAAAACCTTGCTCCTTGACGTCATCCTCGATAGAGTCCAAGTCTGATCAGGCAGGAACTTTGCACGTGTGCAGACTGTACAGACTGCAATGTGTGTGTAAAAATGGGCGTGACGTCATGATGGCAGCGTCAAGGACTTTCTTAACAATTTCTTGAGAATTTACTTGCCTTTTTTGCAAGAAAAAGAAGAACTTTGAGAAATGTCCCTCAGGTTGCTCCGTACATGTACATGAACTCAATCAGACCTGTGGTTTTGTTGTTAGTGTCATTGGATGTTCAAGGCTACACATGTGCATGGAGCACCACAGTGGAAAAAGTATACATGTACATGTACACCCACATCTTCGGCTGAACTGTCCCAGAAAAATGGCCGCTGGGCAAGAATATGTTTGATTTTCACAACATAGGTGTCAAAATGACCGCACAGAGTTACTCTAACACACTGTACATGTATTTCCTAAAGCCTCAGCTCTTAAAAGAAAAGTACTATGGCAATATCGGGAAAGGGGCTAGTGGATTCCCTCCCTTTCCTCCCCATTCTTTTTTGGTTAAGGCCAGGCTGTTTTGCACACGTGTACCCATTTCTCCATAGGGCTGATAATTCTTTGATGATACCATAGCTGCAAGGCCACTACTCGGAAATGCAGCCCATTGAAAGCAACAGTTTACAAAACACTGACAAGTTATGAATCCTAACCTCCTTGGGTGTACATGTACATGTATGTAAAATCCCATCGAAATCAGAGGATTTGGGACTGTCAGTAGATATGTGCTTGAGCTGAACAGTGATCTTTGTTAGGTGTAACCAAGTTCCAAAAAGTGTTTTCTTCAGATGTGTCGTCTTGTCACATGGAGAATTCTTTTGCTAAAAAAGGCCAGTCCAATTTTTTTTTTTAATTTCAGATATTGAGTTTTGCAGATTGTAATAAAAATTGGGAACCTTGCTTTACTTAAAGTTAGGCCACCTCTAGACTTTTGTTCATTTCATGACATTCAACATTATGATAACTTAAAATCGTTGTTTTAAAAATCAGTGTGCAAGGCAACCCTTGTTTTGCTTCCGATATTCTTAAAGAAAGAAATTGCCCCCTCCACCCTCCTGTTGCTGTTACAGTCACAGACAGTCAAAAATTCCTTTCACTTGATTTTCCACAGTACCGGTACACGGATGTACATGTACATGTAGGGTCATTTGTCTGATTTTGACTGGTCGGACAACTTTGTCGAGAATGTAACTTTGCATAGGAGGGTTGATTAATGCAGTGAAGGCCTAACAGCAAGATTGCTCTTTTCACAGGCACTGTACGTGGATTAAAACGGAAAAGACACCCATGGAAAGAAACAGTTTGTTTCCAGGAATCATCACTGAAGAATTTCCGTACTTTTGATGTGTTCAGCGATTGTTTGATATTTTGATTTTTTTCCGGCGATTCGTAATGATGGTTAAGTTTGTAACTGACACAATGTTTGTCATAATCACAGACTGTTGCATCATCTGATATCCACTACCTTGTTGTGTGTTAATTGGAGGGGAAAAAACACATTGATCACTACTGAGAGAAATTTAATAACTCTTTGCTTCTTGGGCACACATACCGGTACATGTACATGTAGATTGTTATTTGGGTAGCATTTCCGAAAGTCTGTAAATTCTAAAGTGTTTGAGACTTGGAAGCTCATTTCTGGTCCACAATTCAGCAATGAGTAATTGCATGATTGTTTCTTTGATTCTCCTTCAGGTTGATGAGAGACACCGCCTTCACAGATGTCTACAGAATGGCTACCCTCTCCAGTTTGGACAAGAGTTCTTGGACTTCCCAAAATGGTAAGATCATTCTTCCTATTAACAGTACAAGATTTTCTGGCCAATTTCGAGAGGTTTTGTTCACTTCTGTGCATGTTTCTGACTCCTCACTGCACTCCTTAAGTCGGCCTAGGTGGGATTCGAACCCGGGTCACAAACTGGCTCTTTGAAGTGCAGACTTTACTGGTTCCTAACGTTAAACGTCCCGGTACAGTACAATGCCATTATGTGGAATACTGCCGTACCCAAGTATTGGGTATACCAAAAATTTCCCTTTGTGCACACTTTTATGGAATGTTGAAAATTTGCTTCAGAGGAAAGATTTAAGTACTAAAAGATTTAAGGCTGATGATAATGGATCAAGAGGTCAAGAAAAACCTTACTTGCAAAGGAACAACAGCCAGTACGCAGCACAGTCGCTATGTACAATTTACATTAAAGTTCCCGATGTACAGTAGCAGTGGGAACCAGTGTAATCGCCCCGCGTCTTGTGCAAAATTTTTCAGTGATGACTTAAGTGATTGAACTTCAGTGAAAACTGCCCAAAACTTACCTGGAAGGAAAAGAATGCACCTTGAGCAAAATGAAATAATTTGGGCATTACATGTACACTGAGCAGATGATCGGACCCAGCTCAATCACCTGCCAGTACATGTATTTAGAACTCTTTGAATTAACTGATTGTTCAGCGAAATCTTTCTTTCTTTCCACCTTTCTGTCTTTTTCCACTCTGACATTCCCTGCGGTTTTTCTTTGGCACTATTTAAGGTACGAGCTTAAACCCTGAACAAATACTGACCCTGATCACAAGTGGTGTACATGTACGTACATGTACATTACTCTGATGTCCTCCTGATGTCATCAGGTGTCATATTACAAGCAATTAACTTTTGACACTTTATCTTGAAAATCTATGGAGGCCTATAAAAATCCATCATGAGATACCTCATCTCGCATTTTGCAGCAAATGATTGGACAAATTCAAACTTAGGTTTTTATTTTTTGTCGTGTACATACATGTAAAATCACTGGACCCTTGCTTCCGGAAACCCGAAGTGCCTTGTAATTTACAATTAGTAATAGATGTGAACTTGCTTTTGACGATGTTAGTGTCCTGCAAGATAGTATTGTTTACTACGAGTAATTTATCAGTGAGGTCATGAAATATTCGAGCATCCTCGAGGTCGAAAAATTGAAAAAATACATTTTCAGTTGACGTTTGTGGCGAAGTTTGCTGTAATCACTTGGTAGTTGGTTGATACAATGACCTTCATGCAGACGACACATACATGTATGTGTCTTTGGCTCCGTCAAACCAGAAGTTACATTTACAATGAAAAGACCTTTCATTTTTTTTTAAATCAGTGAAAATATCCATCCTTAGAGATGTAAATCTAATCTCAAATTACCCTTTAGAGGATAGAATAAATATCGGCATTAAACAAGGCATTGGGTTTTCTTATTGTTAATGTGGTTGACCCACCAATATTCAAAAGAAAAATTGCCAACATTGGTTTCTTGCTTCTGGATATGCTATACACGTAACTAGTCTTTGTCTTATGTGGCTCTCTCTTTTCTGTGCATGGCGGAAGCATGTACGGTACATATACATGTACGTGTACCATACATGTACATAACATAACATACATGTACAAACTTTAGACCACCGCCAAAATTTCCATATGCTAGTCACATATCAGGGTACGGTATGCCAGTACGTGCAGTCCCCTCTGTTCAGCAACGACAGCGAGCAGACACCAGGCCTAGGCATTCACAAAATAAAAACGGAATATTTTGCTGACATCCAACTCTAATTTATCTGTTGATAATCCCATTCGATAAAATTGCTAATTGGGTTTACCGGTACTTGTGGTCCATCAGTAGGACGTCGTTCATGTACATGTAGTTCTTAAATGCTCAAACTGGTATCCTTTACGAAAATGGATAATACAACTATTTCCAAGGATGGATTTGCGTCGGGGAGATGTTCATTAATTTTGGATTTTTTGCCCTGCCCGACGTGTATTATAACACTGTATACTCAGTTTGCCCCTGAAGGCTTGTGGTACATGTTGTTGTTGATGGTACCCGCTACTACTTGTACATGTACAGTGTACATGTATATCTGACTGGAACCAGCCAGCTGACACCGGCAGGCTCGGATGTCTGCACTAGTAAGCAGGAAGTCGTGGGTTCAAGTCCCACCCGGGTATGCTTGTGCGGTTTTTTTTCACAAGCCTTCGGGGCAAACACTGAATATACAGTGTTATAATACACGTCGGGAAGGGCCAAAATCTCAAATTAATTAAGGATAATACAGTGTTTCTTTTGGCAGTGACTTCCATGATCAGTGACATCATGATTTCATAATCCTGTGATCCTTTGTTAGTTTAAACATTCTGTTTTAGAGTCCATAGTCTGAACATTTTCTCCTGAACTGTGTCATTCAATGCAGAAAAGCCCTAATATAAAAAACAGACACACAGTAGAATCTCGTCGTCTTTGATTTCGTCATTTAATATGCATGTACCTCAGAGATGTACATGTACATACATTTATCTTGCACAGATGATGAGGCCTAATACCGGTAGATCTACATGTGTCTGATATGCCACAAATTTCTGTGATGTCATCAAACTATATCACCCAATCATGAAACACGTTGTACCATCTAGTTTTGTCTTTCATCTGCTTTTTTTTTTGGTGAGCTATAAATATAAAGTCTGAACAGCGTTTTTTGGAACCAGTTGAGATATGAACTTGTACTGATGTCATCAGGTGTCAAATTATGAGCAGTTGAATTTTTATATTTCTCTTCAACAAATCCATTTAAAAATCGACTGTAAAATACCTTATGTTGTTTACAGCAAGTAATACAATAAATTTAGGGGTTCATTTTTGTCATGAATGTAGATTCACTTCACCCTCGCTGGTCTAAACCATAAGTGCCTTTTGAAATACTCCGTAGGTGAAATTACCAAATTACTTTCAATGGTATTATAGTCTCCTGTGGTCAGAGAGTATTCCAAAATAGTCCTGGTAATGTCGTGAAATAATCCAGCACCCTCTAATGGCAGATAAAAAATGTAAAAATGCATTTTCAGATGTGGCCAAATTTCTGTTATCCCTGGGAAATAAGTACATGTAGATGCTGGTAATATGACCTTCATGCACGCAATGTTGTGTAAGGTTTGAGATAATCATCGGACCAAAGTTACAATGAAAAGACCTTTAATTTTTCAAAACTTGCTAAAAAAATCTATCCCGAGAGATTTACATGTAATCTTTACTTGCCCTTAAAATGATAAAATAAATATTGGCGTTGACCTAGGCATTGGGAAAGTCTTATACATGTACAGTAGTTGAAACAGTCAACCCCGCTGAGGATGAAAAAAAAATATTGTTAATACTGGTCGGTCACTCGCACACCCAATGCCCGCAACATTATAATCCGCTGAGTCACGCTGTGTGTTCTGCGTAGTACAGCATAAAAGTTTGTACGGACTGACTTGTCCATAATCGAATGCCTTACCTGTATAGCTTGATAGTTTCTATCTAAGTCATCGATTTTAATAGTAATTTCCTTCAGAGGAACTAAATGGAAATCTTTCTGACCAATGCGTGCACCGGTACTTTAATAATCAATTCTTAAACTGGTATCCTTTTTTCAGCAAGCTAACACTGTGGTTCATTTCAGTAGTGTGTTCAGTAATGTCGTCATTTTGTTATCCTGTGATTCTTTACTGCCTTAACTATTTTGAACCGTATTCATACTGAACTAAAATTATTTTAACAATACCGTGACTGCTTGCTAACATCCCATCGCGGTTTTTCTTCTGCGCGGCCGCACATGGATTACTCAGACCTGCGGCAAGTCTATGACCATGCAGGCATGTGCTTTCAAAATCTCATGAGGGCACCCTCCAATTGACCTTAAAATCTGACACCCGGATATGGCCTCTGGAAAGCGCACGATTCTTTTTACATGTACTTCAGGTTTGAATCACCTTGAAGTTATTAAAAACCATCAGTAGATTCGTTGACAAAAACCTGTCCAAGCAACTGCACCTTCCGTCTCAATCTTTCAGTCAAGGGGTACTCACCGTTGCCATTGAAGACACTAAAAAGAACCTCCGAATCATTTCCTAGATATTCTCCATCTCATTTGTATTACAAATACCACAAATCAATAAATGGCCAAAGTGGGGCTCATATCATTTGGCACACATTCCGATGTTGATGCGTTTATGCACAAACCAAATCTGTGGCATCATCAATATCCATATTGCCTGATCACCACTTGTTCCTTTTTAAATTTTTTTTTTCATGCTGGCCCAATCCTCATGCACACAGTCAAGGAAGGCATGGGCCATAGTGGGCAATACATGTAGGTGAAAAAAATCACTCAGGTACCAAAACATTTAGTGTGGACCCCATTGTGATCGTTTATGGCAGCATTGTACTGTCGTGAGAGCTTTTCTCCTTTTGTGCACATTGTTAAAAATCCATAAACCAAACATGATTTCACATCATCGTCAAGAGAACCAAAAATAATGAGTATTTGAACTGTGATTTAAACAACTCTTTTGAAGAGTAGTTTGTGAATCCCCCAACCTCATCCCTGTGATCTGCAAAACTTAAAATTGGTCAGTAAACCTTGTTCATTTCATTCAACAAGGATGCAACAGGTATGTGATTTCATGGAAGGCCTTTATTTTGGAAACTGTGAAAGGTGTTGGTTCTGTGTACTGTTTGGTTTTTAATTTCTTTTCCCCAAAAGTAAATTGTGCCTGCTTTAAAAAATGTGCTTGTTTATATTTTCAATTTTATTCCTTTTCACTCCCACGTGCTCACTCACTCACCCACCACCCCACCCGCCGAAACTTGTTTTTGATATGGTTATCCGTATCTTATGGTATTCACGGTTGACAAAAGCTGTCAACTGCAAAAGTAGAGGTTTGCTGGCAGAATTGGGCATGTCCAATGACCTTTTACACTACTGAAATTCAAATTTGACCTGCATGGCCAATGAGGACTGTCAGGCTGGTTGCAGACAATGCTTGCTCCATGGCCAAGTTATGTAATAAGGCCCAGGTCTTCAATAGTGATAAAGCAGCATCCAAAAAGCCAGCACATTTCTGTAGTGCATCATGGAGGAAGGAAAAAGATATGTACATATATCCCAATATGTACCTGGTGTTTGAGCAGATAGAAAAGCTTGAACACTGACAAATTGCCTTCCTGGTTTGTATATTTACCATCTCAGTTTATTCTGGAAACTGCCAACTTACATGCTTTTCAATTATAAATCTTCAATAGCTTGATACATCTTCAGTATCTCCCTAATGAAAGTGTAAACAAACTGTTCACAAGTTATACATATGATTGTGAGTGCACACTTTGTTCTCAAAATACAACATAATTAAAAGTCCCTTCATTTTTTAATTGCTTTTCAGAACTCCCGAAAGAGTGCCTAACAGCAGTCTACCCTCATCATGCTACCATCAGCAGAACTCCAGGGATCAGACGAGGTTAGCGTGCACCTGCTCCACTTCGCTGCCCGTGCTGGTGGCCATTAGGGAACACAGCACAGGTTGGTGGGCTGCATCAATGTTACATTGGTTGTACTTGTGACCGGCGGAGCAATGAATTCAGGAAGGTCAGAAAGGGGTGAGTTGTTATCAAGTCATTTTCTTCTTGTTTCAAGAATGTTTCATGTCACTTCATACATGTACATGTAGATGCAAGGACCTATGCGGATGTTGGTTAATTGTCATGCACACCACCGAAAACAGAAGAGGGTAAATTTGCCAGTTTTTGCTGTCAGTTTATATATACAATTATCAAATCTTCGCGCTGCAGATATTTGCTGCTTGTTTTCATAACCCACCAAAAATTTAGCAGTAGAAAAACACAAAACGCTGTATGAGTTTGGGTTGTTTTATTCACCGGCGCTGCAAACATGTACATGTGTGATTTGTGGTTGTCAAATCTCAGGTTGTTTGGGTCAGTTGAAAGCCAAGTTATACATCATAGCAAAGTCACAAGTCAAGCTTTATGTTGGTGTGTTTTTACTTCAAGTGTTTAAACAGGTAACTCCAAAAACTTCCATGTCGCTGTACAGTTCATAGTGTACTGAATCTCCTTTAAGTATTGGATTTTATTGATGAGGTCCTACTACAACAGTCCAAATTATTCTTAAGGCTTTGCATTCACATTTTCCTTTGTCAAATAGTTAACCAAAACGATAAACTCGGTTCCCTCTAGTCGTGTTTTAATCAAATTCAATTATGATAACTGATTACTGCAAGAACTTGTCATAAACTGTAATTAAAAGATTTTGAAGAGTTTTAATACTTGTAAGTCAATTTCATTTAACTTTATTCGTTTCATTTTGGAAATCTGTCAGATGCCCAAAGGTCCATCTTGTCTCATCCTTCAGAACCTGCAGTCAGAATAAAAAAATACAAAGTTTTAAGTCAGTAAACAAACTGGAAGCAAATTCCCATCCCATTTTTTTATATTATCATTCACTTCTTGTTGTTTGACATTCACTGGAGATACATGTATGTAGTGCTAGCTTTTTAATTGAAGTTTATTTCCAAATGTTTCAAGATTTATGACAACACTTAACGTTAAATGAAAGTTGGGACCTCATCAATAAAATTCAATGCATCTGAGGTAACTCAAGACCCTTTTTAACTGTAATGTAATCCTTGGAGTTTGACATTACTTGGCCAACTGAAAACACTTGAAATAAAAACACATCAACATAAAGCTCAACTTATAACTTTGTTGTGGTATGAAACATGACTTGGAACTGACCAAAAAGACCTGATATTTGACCTCCACAGTGACATGAAACTTTCTTGAGACTTGAAGAAAATGACAAGATAACAACTGTTCCCTTTTTTGTCTTCCTTAATTCATTGTTCCTCCTGTAGCAAGC